GGCTTTGGGCCGCCGGGGATTCCCTTCCGGGAGCTGCCGGCTCCGCAAGTGCGGGGAAACTGACGCGTGAGGAAATTCACGTTGTGCTGCGGGAGGCTCTTGGGTGTCGCGCTGCCGTCCTCGGCTCGTCTGTCCTGCCCTCAGCGCTACAACAACGCTGCTGCCTAGCCTGACTTAATGTGCGTGCTGGGGCAGCCCCTTGGGGTGTATTTCCATTTTTCATTTCATTTAATTTTTCATTCAATTTAACTTGGTCTGATTGCAGTTTGGGTCTTCTCTGGACGCGGCAACAGGCTGCCTTGCATCCCTTTGCAAAACTTGTTGCTGTACCTTCTAGGCAGATCTGTAATGTATGTGTGTTCAAGAAACACATTGGCTTGCATATGAAATGCCAGGAGTTGGAATGAGTCCAGATCCATGAAAGATGCAAACCTTTAGAATTCGCTAATTTAGATTCTAAAAGGATTTGTGACCATGTAGGACTTTAGGTGATGAGCAGGAGCATGTGAACCTGTATAGCAGTTGCAGAAGATGATGTGTACTTGCCTGATTTTTAATTTTTGTTCTGCAGACTGAACCATCCCAACGTGGTGGCTGCCCGCGATGTCCCTGAGGGGATGCAGAAGCTGGCACCGAATGATTTGCCACTGTTGGCCATGGAGTACTGCCAGGGTGGAGACCTCCGCAAGGTGAGGTCCCTGGGGTGGTAACCAAGGAATGGACCAGCTTCTAATCTTATCCTGGGTTTTCCACTGGAGTTTTCCCTTAAAACATTTGCTTTCACATCCTGATGCTTCCTAATTCTAGTCATGGCATCAGCAGGTGTTGGTGGCTTGGTCTTTGGTATTATGTTCTGCTTTTGAAGACTTAAGTGCCTTGTGAAACTCTTTTTATTTTTTTGGATGCAAGTGACACTGTGAGGAGTTTGCACATAAAGAATGGGGGCAGGTGCTGAGGGATGTGCAACAATGTGTGAGTATGGCCAAAACCATTGGAGGGTAGGTGCAGCTGTAGGCTGTATCCTTCCTGAAAGTTATTAACTCCTGTCTGTCATAGGAAAAATAACACATGATACTTCTAATCCTGAGGCTTTTCTGACTTTGCTAGAATCTGCCCATATCTAAAACACAGACCTTAGGCCTGAGATTGGAGTTGATACTGGCAGGCACAGGGGAAATGGCAAAGAGGGATGGAGCAGACAGAAGGATGAGAATGGGATGACAGTGACTTCTTTTATCTGCTCCTTTATCCTCCCATGCAATCAAACAAGGCTGGTTTAATTACAAAGCTGTGATTGCTGCTACCACGGGTCACAGCCCATAGAGTTTTGTGCTTCTGGAGAATTTAATTGCAGAAATTTCTTGCATCCCTGATGCAAGGATAGAAGAGGGAAAGACTGCATTCTGTGTTGCTTACTTGCAGTACCTGAACCAGCTGGAGAATTGCTGTGGCTTGCGGGAAGAGGCCATTCTTATCTTGTTATCTGACATTGGTAAGTGGTGGCAGTACCTTCAGTTGTCCCTTTTTAGTCCTGAATCCACCGTACAAATATCCAGCAGTGACCTTAGTGACTCCATTTTAGACTGATCTTGAACATCAAAAGTGTTGGGAGTGTGGGGAGGTCCTTGCCTGATGGAAGCCAGCCAGTGTCACTGCAGTTTAAAGGAGGGATGTGAGGGAGCACCCAGAGAGAGAACTCAGTTGTGTCCAGGGTTCTGTGATGTTCTTTACACCTTACACTGTTTGATTGTGCAAGGTTTGCTGTGAAAGCCATGCTTATTACAGATAGAACTGAATCCTTACTCAGCTCCTGCTAGGTACTGTTGTTTATGCTCTTACAATTGGCTTTTTCTGTCTCAGCTTCTGCCCTCAGATACCTTCATGAGAACAGGATCATCCACAGGGACCTGAAACCAGAGAACATTGTGCTGCAGCAAGGGGAGCAAAGGGTAAGCAGGAAGCAGTTTTCTCTGCCTGCACAGACAAGGAACATGCCCGTGCTCTGTGCAGTTACATGGGCCCCTGCCCCAGGATAGCACCTGTGTCAGAGGAATAGGATTCTGTGTGCAGCTGGGGTGAGGCATTGTGTTAGACATCTGTTAACACCTGAAATTTTGACTTTCAGCTGTTAAGGAAAGAGCCAGACTGTACTGATCTAAGATTGGAAGGAGCTAGACACGTAACTGCTAAGTGTGCTACAACACCTTCAAATTCATTGTGGTTTTAGGAATCCACAGTAGCCTCCTGTTTTTACTTCTGTCTCTTCACTGGCACTTTTCCTGTATAGCTTTGAAGAGCTGAACCTTTTCTTTCTGCCTTATGATGTGCTTTTAACAGGACTTGGTCTCGCATTGTTATTCTCTGTTGTGTGTTTCAGTTAATACACAAAATCATTGACCTTGGTTACGCCAAGGAGCTGGATCAGGGCAGCCTGTGCACGTCCTTTGTTGGGACTCTGCAGTACCTGGTAAGAAAGGAATTCAGCTGCGAGAGTTTCTAGTGGGGTAGAATTAACTGTTACCCAGCTTTGGGCTGGGGTTAGGTGCTTGTGTGGTGTGGGGTGTGTTTGGGGTGCTGAAACCAGCAAAGGTGACTGCTTTTTTTGCTGACTCTGGGTTTTCTGTTGCTTCTGTTAAAAATGAGCAGGAGTGCCAGTAACCAGCAATGCTGCTCACTGTGAGAGGGTCTTAAAGCATGTGAGAGACAGCATAAAAATTAATGTAAAGACATTCAGTAATGTCTTTGCTCATTTGTACCAATGTTAACGGGATGTTAAGGGATAGGGGAAGCTCAGAGCTTTGTCTCATGTGTGCATAACCTGTGCCAGGCTCCAGAGCTGCTGGAGCAGCAGAAGTACACAGTGACAGTGGATTACTGGAGCTTTGGCACGCTTGCCTTCGAGTGCATCACAGGCTTCCGACCGTTCCTGCCCAACTGGCAGCCAGTGCAGTGGTGAGTAACCCTGGCTGGGTGAAAATGGGCATGGGGTGACTTTCATATTTACAGGAAATGGAAGTGTGGTCCCTTGAGTCTGAGGATAACACCCCTTATGGAAACTGATTCCTTCACAAGAGTTTAACCCACCTGAGCAAGTTCAGCATTCCTGAATGGGATAAGGGCTGGCTCCTGCAGGGCAGATAACAGAAACCAAAGGGGCATCTGTATATAATATAGTTGAATAGAATAGAATATATAGAATAGAATATATGGAATATAATATATAATATATATTATATAATATATATATATTTCTATATATTGTATATAATATAATATATTCTATATAATATAATCTATACATAATATATAATATATATTCTATATAATACAATATATTTTATATACTATAATGCAATATAATATATAATATATAATGTAATATAATATATAATGTAATATAATGTAATATAATATAATGTAATATAATGTATATTATATAATATGTATAATATAATAAATATAATATATATATATTATCTATCTATCTATCTTATAATCTATCTATATATATATATATATATATATATATATATCTGTATTAGGTCTATCAAGAGTAGTTTTAAGAGCCTACTAACTTACAGGATGGGAAAGGCAGGCAGTTATTTCACCACTGTGCTTGCTTACACTAGGCATACAAAAGTGCGTCAGAAGAGTGAGCTGGATATTGTTGTTTCAGAGGACTTGTCTGGAGAAGTCAAGTTTTCTAGCAGTCTGCCCTGCCCAAACAATCTGAACAGGTGAGTTCTAGAAGTTGCTGGGCTGAGATAAAACTGATCCTTCTGCAAAAGGACCAAGATTATATTTTGTGCCTTACAGTGTTAATCTGTGAATAAATTGAGTGCATGACACAGGCAGTGCTATTTTTGCTTTTCAGTCTTGGTTTTTACCTTCTAAACACTGCATTTGTGATAGGGAGAGGTGAGGGGGAGTTTTGTTAGTCCTCCCACACAGAACAGACCATTTAATTACTTCAAATGCACTTTTACCTCTTCTGATCTCCTGGTTTTTATTGCTCAGTGTTTTGTCGGAGAGGCTGGAGAAGTGGCTGCAGCTCATGTTAATGTGGCACCCACGTCAGAGAGGGACAGACCCTACCTATGGACCCAACGGGTGTTTCAAAGCTTTGGATGACATTTTGAACTTGAAGGTAAGCAATAGGTCCAGATTACCCTGAAAAGTTTTCCAGAGAGTTGTTGCCTGTAGTCTGTGAGAGGAGAGGCTTGAATTGTAGACTAAGGAGGAAGAGTGAGGCAGAAATTTGTAGAACTGTTAGTGACAGGTGCTCTCCTCTTGATTCTTTGAGGACAAACACTCCCTGAGCTTGTTAGGAGTAGTGAAAGTTTCTGTGCATTTTTGGTTCCATATTCTGATAGAGGATTCTACAGCTGAAGGTATTTAGTTGCCATGTCTCCTCCCACTTTGCCATAATGTTAGGAATCAACTGCAGAGTGACTTCTTGAGTGTGCCAAGTGCTTTGAACAGTTTTTGGTGGTCACTGTCTCAGTGCCTCCATCTCTGCTCTAACATGGGCAATGCACCTTCAGCCTTGCTCATGCCCTGCTGCTCTTCTTGCAGTTGCTTCACGTTTTGAACATGGTCACGGGAACGGTGCACACCTACCCTGTGACGGAGGAGGAGACGCTGCAGAGTGTGAAGGCCAGGATTCAGTCAGACACAGGAATTCCAGAACAAGACCAGGAGCTGCTGCAGGAAGCAGGACTTGCATTGTTTTCTCAGAAGTTGGTCACTAAACACACAGCTGATGGCAAGGTGAGTCTGGATACTCCCTTTTTTGCTTTTTAGTGAATCAGAAGACACTGCTCTCACTTTGGGATCACAGGACTTGGCATGCTTTTGCTGTGGGAACCTCACAGCCATTGTAGCACAGGCACCCTGTTGCTCTGGTGTTCTGCATTTAGCTGAGGACTGCTCTGTCTATGGTGTTACCACAGCTTGCTTTTTCTGAGAAAACCTATTTGGGTCTTTTGTCTTCTGCAGGTGAATGACACTGCAGCTGCAGACACAGACCTCCTCTTCCTCTTTGATACCAAGAAGGTTTCCTACGAGGCTCAGGTGGCCCTGCGGCCTCATCCCGAAAGCGTCGACTGCATCCGTAAGGACTTCTCTGCCATGAATGTCCTGGGGGGGCTGTGTTGAGAGTGGTGCCATGTAAAAAAAAGCAGAGGGAGCTTTTGCATCAAGAAGCAGTAAAATGGACTGTCATTCATTGCATTTATCAGAATAACTGAAAAAAGGAAGTGTTTGATTTTGATGTACTGGGGGAGCTGCACAGGGGTTATCCAGCTCTAGGCTTTGCAGGCCCCTCAAAGGAGCAATGTTTTGGTCTGTTTTGTGATAACACAACTTTCCAGCTTCATGGTGTGTACATTTCCCTTTTCCCCACTTCTCTGTTTCCAGTCCAGGATCCCAAGAAGAATCTGCACTTTTTCCAGCTGCGGAAGGTGTGGGGTCAGATCTGGCACACGATCCGGATGCTGAAGGAGGACTGCAACCGCCTGCAGCAGGGCCAGCGAGCAGCCATGTATGCTGCAGGGTCTAAAGTTCTTATCTCTGCCTTTGCTGTGCTTATCTCTGTGCTCTGGTGAGAGGGAGGACAGAAATGGGGCCCTGTTGGAATGGGGGAGCCCGTGATTGGAGCTGTAAGCAATTAATGAAAAGCTGAGAATTAGCCCTGTGACATTTGTCCTCACTGCTATCTCAAGTTTCTGCTTTGGATAGAAGTGTTAGCCTGGTGGATTTTTATTTTTGGAGGCTGACAGGACCTTGCTGTCCGTGCAGGATGAATCTGCTGCGTTACAACAGCACCCTCTCCAAGATGAAGAACTCCATGGCCTCCCTTTCTCAGCAGCTGAAAGCAAAGCTGGACTTCTTTAAAACAAGCATCCAGATCGATCTGGAGAAGTACAAAGAGCAGATTGAATTTGGAATTAGTGAGTATAGCATCTGGCAGATGGGTCTTTTTCTGTCTCTTATCCTCCCAGAAACACCTCTCCCTTTCTCGGTGAACCTGAGGAAGCCACTCACTGCTCTTTCATTCTGTAGCTTCTGAGAAGCTGCTGTTTGCCTGGAAGGAGATGGAGCAAGCTGTGGAACTTTGTGGGCGGGTATGTTTCTAAATCTAACTGCTTATCATAAAGAAAAAGAGCCTTGATTTTATTCTCTCTCCCCTCCTCCCCCTTTTTCCTCATTAAGGTCCCTACCTTAAACAGAACTCCTTGTGTTTGGACTGATTCCAGATTTCACATTGCCTTGGTTTGGGTGGCACCATTTTTGTCCATTACTAGTACTACATGAAGCTTATTCTGTTTTAAGGCTTAGGGGGAATAGGGAGATCTTGGGAAAACCCAAAAATATCTTGGAAATTGTTTTATCCAAGAGCACCAGCCTAATTTCCTTGAATTGAAGTGACTCATATTCTCATTTGTCTTTGGCCAAGGCTGCTGTTTGTGTCTTAACAGCAAGAAATAAGTGGTTAGAAATATGAATGAGAAAGAAAAAATATGAATGGTAGTGTCTTTAAGTGTGAGACTTGTGTTGCTGATGTTCTGCCCTGCTTCCAGGAGGATGATGTGGACGAGTTGGTGAAGAGGATGATGGCCCTGCAGACGGACATTGTGGACCTGCAGAGGAGCCCCCTGGGCCGTAAACAGGGAGGGACACTGGAGGATTTGTGAGTTGAACTGCCTGCAGCTTCACATGCAGGAGTGTTGCTAGCTAAGCTTACAGGACAATGAAAGTTCTGTTATTTCCACCCAAATTATGGGGAGTTTACACCAAAGATGGCTTTTGACTCGTCTGTCACTGGTCTGAAGTGGCAGACAGGTATAGAAAGGTTTGAGTTCTCAAACTATTTGTTCTTAATTTTGGTTCTTTGGAAATTCTTTTGTTTTTCTTGCTTTTTTCCTTCTAGAGAAGAACAAGCCAGAGAGCTGTACCGAAGGCTGAGAGAGAAGCCAAGAGGTAAAAGGCACTTTAGCTCAAGCTCAGCTTGCTTTGTGTGGCTTTGTAGCTGTTCTGAAAACTCTGGAGCTCTCAGAGCAGGCTGTGTCCACAAGCAAATGCTTCTGTGTGGGAAGGATAAAAGACATGGCTGCTCCTTTGATACATTCCCAACTCTCTTTTTCTAAGTTTTTAAATTCTGAAGAAGGTGGCCAAAATTCAGTGTAATTCATCCCACTCAAGCTTGCATATCCTGAACTTTGGATGCTTCAGGATTGAAGGAGAAGTGGAACCAAGGCATAAGAATCTGCTCAGTGTCCTCTAAACCTGCCTTTCTGTGGGATCCTGACTCTCATTGCAGATCAGAGGACGAGTGGTGACAGCCAGGAAATCGTCCGACTGCTCCTGCAGGCAATCCAGACCTTTGAAAAGAAAGTTCGAGTCATTTATGCTCAGCTCAGGTGAGCTTTGTACATTTTATTCAGAGTTCAGAGAAGGCATTTTCTCTTCCAGCAGGAGAAGGTTTAAATCTCAGTGCATACAGCTAATGAGATCTTGCAGTATTGCAGGAAATAAATAACTTCAGGAATGTTCTCCTACTGCAGTGGCCCACGTGTGATCTGATTAATTTTTACTTTTTTGATAGTAAAACTGTAGTTTGCAAACAGAAGGCATTGGAGTTGTTCCCCAGAGTGGAGAAAGTGATGACTCTGATGAGTGAAGATGAAGAAACAGTTGTGAGGCTTCAGGAGAAACGACAGAAAGAACTGTGGAACTTGCTGAAAATTGCTTGTGTAAGTAAAAGAAAAACTCCACTTTAACCCAAGAATGGGATTTGTACCATAGGTTCCTGAAATAATAGTAAATTGATTATGTCATATGGTTGTTTATTTTGAATCTGTATTAAAGCCAATCCCAGCTTGTCTCACATTCCTGCCTGCTGAAAACAGGTGGAAATAATTGCAGTTGAATATTCTGTGTTTTCTGCAGAGTAAGGTCCGTGGTCCTGTCTCTGGCAGCCCGGAGAGCACGAACAGCTCACGGCTCGGCAGCTCGGGGCAGCTGCTGCTGCAGGTCCCCTCTGGAACGTACAGTCTGTCAGACTCTGTGAGGAAAAGGTGAGGCAAAGCCTGGAGTTCCTCAGGCTGGAGTTCAAACAGCACCACAAGGCTTTATGAAATAATGGCACACAGGGTTTCTCGTATTTTACTGTTGTAATCTTTGCTGCAGTGTTGTTCTCGCCTCTCTGCTGGGGCTCTTCTCCATTCTCTGCAGCACACTCCTTCCTGTCTTCTCAAGGGCTCCTCCTGGGCTCTCAACCCACCCCTATTTATCTCAGTTACCTTCACGAGCTACAGCTGCTGCCCAACTAAGGACCCTGCAGCTGCAGCTCGTTTGGAGCAACTCGGACCCACACAGATCCCACAATACAACATATATTCAGGCCCCCACATTTTACACTTTGTGTTCAGCTTGTGTTGGCAGCGCTCTTGGTTTATTTAGTGGTCAGACATCCTGGGGCTTGCAGATCTTCCTTACAAAAAATGGGGAATCATGTATAGCTTCACTTCCCCCTGCTTCACTCATAATGGTGGTTTTTGGTTTTCTGCCTTTATTCTGAGATGGTTGGGCTCACCTGGAAGTGCTGCCAGCAAGAAGTGTTGAACATTGTTGTGTAAGGTCACAGAGCTGAGCTGTGCCATTGAGGAGAATCCTGTGGCCAAGCTTGGGTGGTTTTGGCTTCCTCAAATGAGCTGGGTCACCACTTGGAATGAGAGATCTTTGTTTGTTTATTTCCATCTTGCTCCATCCTGAAGTTTCCAGGCTTCTCAGCTTTTTCTCTAACTAAACTGGTTCCACATAACAAGAACCCAATCCCACCCTGGAATTCATTTCCTTTCTCCTTGTAGTAACTCAGGGGCTGCCACCAACCTTTCAAGTTGGAATATGAATTACAGACTTGACTTCAGCAATATGAATTACTGACTTCAGTGTTCTGTATCTGCCAGAAATA